AGAGTTTCATGGAGATGTGATTTATTTTGAAGACACTATTAACCCAAACTCTGTACCTTCTCAGAAAATGGTAACAGCGGGCTGTTATTCTGTAGCTGCAAGCCTCCAGGCTTTTGAACAAAGAGGGCAATTTTAAAGGGAATACTCTGCACGGATTGTAGCCACTGAAGAGCCAGACCTGTTCATTCATCTAGCCCCACACGAGGACAGCACCTAGGAATTTACTGATGCACAATGGTATCCTCTTTCCTGCTTACCCAGCTTCACTCCCTGTTGCCAAGTGCACAGCAAGAGTAAAGGATGCCCTCCCTAAGCTCCTGCGTGTAACAGCAGCACACGGCTGTGGGATATGGCATGGCCTAACCTACCTGAGTCTAAATTGAGCTCAGCCAGTTGGAGCTGACTTAGCTGAGCGGCCACCCATGCGCATCACATCTCCTTTCCTATGAGAGGCTAAATAAACTAGTACAGGTAAAGGGCTGGAACAGTTCGTGGTGATATGGATGAATACAAAGAGATCTAGGAATTCCAATCCCTGGAGCACACACTGTCAACAGTACATTCACAATGAGGGAGAAGATTTCATAGGACAAAGAGCCATTGTTTTTCTGCTGCTCCTGAGTATGACTTATTGGCTATTTTGCGCTAAGCAAGTGCCAGTTACAAGGATCCTTGATGCGATACATGGAAGAATTGAGCAACTGTGATTTGGTTGATATTGTTGTTTTTATTTGCTTTATTGTTATTACTTTATAGGAACTAGCCTATCTATAAACCTAAAAAAAAAATCAGAGCATGTGATGGTAAAGTTGGATTTTCTCTTCTGTCAACCCCATTTGGATAATCTGCTTCAATACATCCAGGATCAAATATGTAGCTTAAAAACAAACCCATGAAGGGAATAAGGGTAATATTCAGAGTGCTAAAACTCTGGCAAATTCTCAACCCCAAAGGTACCATTGGCGCTAGCCAGGATTCCTCTGAAAAAAGTGCTGCTTATGTTCAGACACTTGAACCATCTTCAATGCTTTCATCTAATGTTCACCACGTGCAAGAGAGCTGCTCTTGCGCAGGGAGTTTACAGTAATGGTACAGTTCGTATTTGACACAGACAATGACAGGTATTCTTTTTTTCATAATCCCCAAGAGTAGACCAGAATCCTTCTCCTTATTTTTTGTGTGGCTCTTTTGCTAACTTTCTGCTTTCATATTTTAACTGTGCACATTTCTGATCAGGTACCCACAATCATTACATTACCAAGTGCTGTGTGAAACCCTAGAGGATTGAAATCCACAAAGGAACTGAGCTCAAATCTTGGCCACCTAAGTGCTGACATTGCTGTCAGTGCTGTATTTGATAAAGACTGCTCAGTTGTAATCACTTGATCTTCTTCCCCTTCAAATGCCTCTGGTAATTATTCACTGATCATTGGTTTAACTCTCTCCGTATTTGAACCTCAGCTCTCAACGAAAACAAACAAACAAAAAAACCAAAAAACCAACTCCAGAACAAAATGTCAGCTTGACTGGGTTCAGTTCCCTTGCAACACTTCTGGTGAATAAAGCCTTAAAATTAAATATGCGTATCTGCAGCTAGAACCATATATAATGTTAAACTTCTTCCTCTCTTGCCTACTACATTTAGTTCTGTTATTATTGACTTAAAATTGATAAACCTCTAGTTAAAGGTTATTTCACTGTTGGTGATGATGGTGCAATTTACATTAACATTACTAGACAAAAATCTAGCTACTACGTTCCCATGTAAGTTGTAATTTACATCTGGTTTTAGAGGAATTCCTTTGCTTCATTCCTTAAGCTTCATTTGTTTTCATAACTCTGTATTCTAGTCTCTAGCCATCGGTCAACACAATGCCAATTAAAACAACAATAATTAAATATGAAGTTTTTTTGTTTGATTACTTTTCTGGACTATTTGGAGTATCTCTCGAGAGGCATTCCAGCTGAAATGTTACTCTTTTTTATGATGTACCCCCACAATACTTCTAAAGGGCAACTCTGGTCAATACCTTTCAACAAGCATTCTTTGCTTTCCTACATACATGAGCCTTTCATTTCTATTTTGTGCTCAACATAATGTATATTTAGAAACTTTGGCATGTCAATATTTAGTGACATCACTTAACAGCTATTGTCAGTAAACTGTCTTTAGACCCTCAAGCAGTAATTTGTACATCAAAGTCTTGTCATAGGGGTGGATGA